AATTTAAATAAAAATAAAATTAAAAATACCAAATGTATTGCTATTGAAATCCAGATGTATTGGAACATAGACACTACTACAAATTTCTACTTGAAAAAGGAAGTTTGTATCAATAGACAAATACCCCAGCCGCCGCCTTGACTTGATAGTTACAATACATTAGATACATGAGTTTTCTAAATAAGTTAAATCTTAACACCCCTAAAATAAAAAAGATGGAATTTTTCTTAACCCCAATACCTCAAAATATCACATTTGTCTGGACATATAAATTCAATTTCTAAAATTATTCTTATCATTGCTTGATAATGGAACAGAACTTTGTATTTTAAGTTTAATTTGTATGATTGAATTTAAATTGAAGTTTCAGTTTTGAAACATAAGAATTTCAGTGTTGCAATGATTATAAATTTTAATAAAAAAAAACAATTATAATATAATTTTCTGCTGTTATATTGAACACTGTTTTTTAAAAATAAAAATAAATGCTAAGAACACTGAATTATAAATCTCATGTTCTTTCCTATTATTTTAATATATATATATATATATATATATAAAATCAGATACATCATTTTCAATTAAACTGACAATATTAATAAGCAGATTGGAAACAATTTTAATAAAACAATTTTTTTTTCAATTCAGACATAGTAAAATATATATCAGTTAGTTAACATTTTCATTTAATTAGATCAGTAACATTAATATTGTAAATATATTACCAATTCATTTAGATAATATTTCATCAGATTTAAGAAAGATTTAGAGAAAGAAAACTTCAAAAAGATGATTACAACATTAATAAATCCATTTCCCTACCCAAACTGAGTCATTCACATAACTATGAATTGTTTAATTTTATTTACATTCAAACTAATATCGTCATCATTGTCATTATCACATTATAGAAGTTACGTAAACTTCAGGAAATTTTAAACTGAACCCTTTATTTAATCTATATGAATAGATTGTTCTTGATCCACTGTCCAGGGATATCAATTCTTGTTTGTTTTTAGTACAGCTCAGTTCTTGCTTGCCCTATTTCCATCAAGTCTGAGTTCGTATTACTTTTCTCAGAGATCACACAATTACTATGTCAACAAATTCATAAACCAATGCTTTAATCCACTAAAATCCAGAACTAAAGACTTGGAGGCTTAAACCTAATGTTCTTATTGTTTGCTGCTGTTACACTTGACTCCTTTTGGTGCCACTTTTCTTTTCTTACTGCTGCTGTTGCAGAAACCTTGTATTGAAGCTATATATTCTCTACTATTGTTTCTATTTTTCATTATGAATATCTCCCATATTTATCTATGTTACATCTACTAAAGAGGCTGTCACAACTTATGTGCTAATTTCTCCAGATGTCTGATTCATCAATGTTGTTCTTTGTCCTTTGTCTAGTATTTTATTTCATTCCACAGGGGTTGTGACCACTCTTTTCCCTCTATACATAAATCATCCATGCCTGATTTTATTATCTCACCCCAATTGTGTTCCTCCAGCCTTACATTTAGGATACAACTGGTTTCCCCATTGTAGTTTTTGCCACAACTGCAAGAGCTGGAATACACAGCTCTTGATCTGAGTAATTCAAAGATTTCTCTATGGTTGAGGTGCTTCTGAATATTGTCCTGATGTTATACACACCACAGGAAGTGATATTAGGAATGGCACCATTAAAGGTGTATAGCTCAGATACACAGATCATACCTTCATACTTTGGCCTCACCAGGAAGCTGTACAAATATTACTGGACTAAGTGAACTCAAAACCTTCAACCAGATTTGCAATAGAAGAAAACAAAAATCAGCCTGCCTTCCAGAATATACTAATAACTTGCAGAGAAAGTGGGTTCAAAACACCTTTATATCACAAGCTAACAGTCACCAGACAATACCTTAAGTTTAAAACAAAAAGAAAAAAATCTATTCACCAAACAATTGCTGGTTTAAAATATTTTAGTGTACAAAAAATGTATATATCCAATTGTTGTTTATTTAAAAGAAATCTTTTTGTAAAATAATAAGTCAGTTTTCATACATAGATATGAATTATATATGCACATTTTCAATGTAAATCAAACCAAAGTGCAGATGGCTTTCTATGGATCAGGGATTCATTTGACACTGTATCAATTTTGTAAACTGGACCACCATTATAAATTGATAAATTTAATAGGAGTATGTATATATATATATATATATATATATATATATATATATATATATATATATATCATCTGGTTCACATTCATCCCTAGTCTTTTGAACAGGAGTAAAGGTTTATCCCTTATTTCCTGTTTAGATTGAGTTTCTGATTCCTTCTTAAGTTTTCTCATTCTCTTTCACACCCAGTAGCCCCTTTCAGGGCGAACTAATTTAAAAAGATAAATGTCTCACTGTCCATAGATCATAAAAAAATGGAATGTCCATTATCTAGAACACAGTACAAAAATCTTCAGAATAACAACTTTAGCAACATCAAAGAAGTTGGTTTGTTGGTTGGTTAATTTGATTGATTTGGTGGTATATCAATCTCTATGGATCATATAATGCTGAAATTTAGATATGTTGAACACAATTTTATGGCTTCAATATATTTTGAATACAATTGTAGGACTTCAATTACAGATAAAATATATTGATAGTCAATGTATCAATAAGCATGTATTATTGGTAATTTTACTATAAAAATGTATTCTTATACTTTCAGTGTTTTATTTTTCTTTGGAGGTTCACTATTTGCCTATAGCTGGGACCCTAACAGGTGCTACCATCCCAGGTCAGAGTGGACCTTGGAACCACAGCAATTAAGAGGAGATCAAGCATAACAGTATCAGTAGCAGATAGATAATAAGAACATTAGGTTTAAGGCTCCAAGTTCTAGTGATATTAAGGAAGATTAAAGCCTTGCTTCATGAATTTGAAGGTATAATAATTATAAGTTCAATCCCTGGGTTTAGTGAAAACAAGATAAGCAATAAAATTGTTTTCTTTTCTTATTTATCTTAAAAATGTTCCTTGAAAACAGTTTCAAAACAGCACACAATCAACAGTGACATTTTCTTCTATATAAGTTAAAACCTAATACATACATATAGCAGAAACTTCTACACAGAAACCAGTTAATGCTATAATAAACAATACAAGAAAATTAATTATATATACAATGATGTTCATCCTGTACACTCAAAGTAGAGGGCTACAGAGTAAGAGGCACAGTATATGGGGATATGTGGGGAAGATAACAATTAACCCTAGACTTGAATAGGTTAAGATTGTAGTAATCAGGGAAGCATCCTCTTGAGAGTCAGTTCTATAAAGCAGTGGTTCATGGAAAAAAACTGCTTGAATGAACTTCTATCTCATCAATGGAAAATGAAAAGAATGAGGGTGGTTTGCTGCAATGTGTGTGGTATGGGAAGGTCTTGGCCATGAAGGTTAGAACTAAGGAATGTAGTTCATCTGAACACTTTACATGGAAATAGAGAGAGGCTTGCAATGATATTCAGCAAAATTGTTTGTTTTTTTTTTGTTTTGTAATTGTATGATAAATCTTTCATTTATAGTTTGTGCATTATTTGATGTTTGTGGTCTACTCTCTTAATGATATTAACTCTGTCTTGCTGTAGGAAGACATTTTGAATAATCAATATAAAACATCAGTATCAACAGGTTATAAAAAAAAAATTAGCAAGAAAACCATTGTTTATATGTCTCAATTTTTTCCAAAATTTAAAAAAGTGGTACAAATGTATTTATTGTCTATACAATTTATGCACATTCATTTTTTAAATCAAGAATTATCATACAATAACAATAGATAAATTAGTTGATGCTTGTTATAAAATTTCTTCTTTATTATAGAATTAAACCTTTGAGCCCTGACCACCACTTTACGAGGTGGTATAGAAAATGACATAATGCCCAGCCACTGGTTTAACAGCGGTAGAGAAAAATGACTTGATGCCTAGCTACTGGTTGAACAGTGGGCAAACACTTGTAACTATTTTTATATCTACCATGAAACATTACATACCAATTATTTGCGAATTTTGACCCGGGAGCTCAGGCAGAAGGGTTAAAAATTGTTCAGGAATACAGGGCTCAAAGGGTTAAGTAACTTCCAAGTAATCATTATAGTTTCTGTTAACAAAGTGAGGATGTCCTGAATATGGACAATTCAAATGACAACATATATTGTTAAGACAGTTGGTTAGTATAAGACTAACAAAGCCATAAGATAATCAAATATCAAGTAAATGGACAATGCAACTTGATAATTTCCCCAGATACACACAAGTCTGCCTCTGCAATTTACATTACCTTATATGAAATATAAACATTTGTCCTCAAAAATAAAGAAAATCCTTAGAAAAAATAAAATAATAATAAAGCAATAATATATTATGATAGCCAATGTTTAAACCTTTTTTCGTCCACAGATTAAATTGTTTAAATAAAATCCAAATTCTCAAAAAAGTAAATATGCTTCTTTGTTTCATACTGCAAAATCCTCATACACACAAACATACACATATGTAGACATACACATATATAAACAATGTGTGTGTGAGAGAGAGAGAGAGATAGAGTTTGAATTTGTTTCAATATTACTATTCATATATATCCATAGGCATAAACTTTTCACACACAAACATTTATACATATATACTGCCATTCTTAATGTCAAAAGACTGTCTAACATACATAAAATGTATCTCAGAGTTGCATGTCAAAAAGGAGTGAGTGAGTGAAGCATATTTGAGTATTGTAATATTTATCACAATGAATATTTTAAAATGTTTAGGCCATTTGTCTCAGTTTCATGAAGAGAAAAAAAAATTGAGCAAGGTTTTGTATATAATATTTATCCACCAGAGCAGAATAGGTGGGGGGTCACCTATCATAGTTAGTTGTCCACACTGTCTGCATGCCTTCTATTACATCTTCCACTCCTTTCAATGCTTTCATATTGTTTTCATAAAAAACTATATCAGCATTGACTAACCTGAGAAAGGAAAAACAAAATATTAGTATCTTACAAAACAAGACAAAATAAATTAAGTACATATTACAAGTTTGGGGTACATTTTTAAACTTCAAAATTGATTACTTACATAGGTACATCAACAATAAGTCCATAAACTAATGATGAAAAAGAACACTTGATGCACAAATATTTATTTCTCAACATGACATCCCACTTTATCAATGCACTTAAACCAAAGCTTCTCCATTAATCAAATTGATTGTACATGATGTAGTGAAAATTTCAAGTCTAACTTCAACTAACAAATATATCAAATTACTGATCAACTCTCATGTTTTTATCATCACTGATAACATTTTGTGAAATAAATGTATTTGAAATATGCAACAAAGTCAAAATTGTTATCAAGTGTTAATATAATAGACTATTTTAAATTACAGGCAGCTTTTGTCTGTTATTTAAATAAAACAATGTTACTGGCTTGCAGAGGATAATGATAACAAACCACAATTTTTCATTCTTGTAAAAAAAAGAATTACAATTTAAACTTATACTGATTAGAATTAAAATGAAATCTTTTCAATAGAATTTTTAAAAAATTCAAAACTGAATTTAAATTAAAACAGAGGATATGAGATTAAAAATATATTGTAATAAAACAAGTTTTATAGACATTAATTCATAAACTACTATGCCCATACTTTTTATAGATCAGTGATAACCATTTTATTAATAGGGCCATCAAAATACAACTAAAACATCTATATTGGGTTCTTGCTTTATTTATAATTTTGTTAAAAGAATGAAAAAATGAAGTGTATTCATTCAGTTAAATCATCTAACTATTGTACAGCTAACAGAACTCAAGTAAGATCTGATTTACAAGTATGCTAAATTGACATCAACCTCGCACTGCCTGGTCCTGTTCATTCTTGCTGGTTGTCTAATGTATAAATCAATGAATGTTGAATCTCAATGTTGAATCCAAATTCATCTAAATTTGCATGGCTAAAATGTCAAATATACCTAATCAAATCAAAGACACTTAATTACACATACTCTTGAATTAACATGACCAATTCATATGCTTTGATTTCATTGAACTACATTTAACATTGATGTATACCTTACAAGATATAAAACTATTGTCAAATATATTACAATATATACAAGTATTTAAATTCAAAGAGAGAAAGAAAAGGGAGAGAATAGTTAGAATATTTGCATAATATATTAAATTTAATAACTAAAAATACTAGTGATAAATCTTGTTTAGTGTTAGTTGTTTGATTTTGATGTAGCGGGCGTCAAGAATTTAAAGTTTTTGCCCAACACCAAGTTGTAATTTACCATCTCTGATTACTCTCCTTGCATTGTATACAAAACATTGTAATCATAACTATTACAATTACAATTAAAATAATTATAACAGAGCACATTTGCAAAATGTGTGTTTACAAAAGTCATCATCGAAACGATCACAATAACATTAAGTTTGTCTTTGTAATTCACCCCTGAGGATGTTCTCAGTAGAGATAGAAAGTACTAGGGTTAACAAGAACTACGGTGTCTTCCTTGATGAATTTCAACTTATCCTCAAGATAATTAGAGAACTAGAACAGATTATTGTAAAAATAAATAGACATGATATGTCTATATTATTTAATGAAACATGTTTGAATGAAGAGATCCTATATATATATATATATATATATATATATATATATATATATATACACACACACACACACACAGTGGGGGGAAATAAATATTCATACACTAGGAAATTTTTTAATTAACATATGAAAAAAACTTAAAATCCATTCAATATTTCTACACCATTGCATAATGCTACAATATGCAAAAAACAATTAGAAAACTTTGTTATAAATAAAATTGTGTGTTATTTATAAAATTTTGAGGTAAAAAGTATTCATACAAAATATGTCTTTAATATCAAAAGGATTAAAATATCTTTATTTACTTAATTCTTTGTATTGCCAGAACAATCTAGAACATTCCACAATTCATTTCTTATATAAGGTTATCTTTGCACATAAATCATACATAATATTTACCATCCTGGGGAAAGGCAAGGAACTATCAAATTTGCAAAAAGAATTGATCACCAAACATTGGAAGGAAAGTAAAAGCTATAGGAAAATAGCAGATATCCTGAATATACCATTTACTACTATTAGTTCTGTTATTTTTAAGTATAAAAAGATGAAAACTTTTAACAAATCAAAATCTGGTGCACCACACAAGATTTCTCCCAGACTCAGAGAGAAACACAGAAAGAATTAAAAGTATCAGGTACTATTGTTACGAAGTGAACAATAAGCAATAAACTTCATAGAAGTCAATTAAGATCATATTCTCCCAGAAAAAAACTACTACTATTGAAGAAACAAAAAACTCTACTACTATTGAAGAAACAAAAAAAAAAAAAAAAAAAAAACTCTACTACTATTGAAAAAACAAAAAACTCTACTACTATTGAAAAAACAAAAAACTCTACTACTATTGAAGAAACAAAAAAAAAAAAAAAAAAGACTCTACTACTATTGAAGAAACAAAAAACTCTACTACTATTGAAGAAACTACTATTAAAATTTGTTTGTGAGTATAAGAATAAATCTGAATCATGTTAGGAAAGTGTTTTATGGACAAATGAGACAAAATTTGAACTATTTGAAAATAATTCAAGGATTCACATTTGAAGAAAAAAATGGCACAACCTTTGCACCAAAGAACACAATCTCAACGATGAAATTTGGCAATATCATGGTTTGGGGATATTTTTCTGTTAATGATACAGGTAATTTACAGATAATACATGGTAGAATGACTTCAAAATATACCAAGATATTTTGGAATCTAATTTGTTTCAGTAAGTAGTAAAACTTAGACTTCCAAATGAATGGGTTTTGCGACAAGATAATGATCCTAAACACATTGCTTAAATCTACAAAAAATGGCTCATTGAAAACAATGCCATACACTTGAATAGCTATCACAGTCTCCAGACTTGAATCCAATAGAGAATTTGAACTTTTTCAACTTTCCTAGAGGCTGTAACCCAACATACACCATTTAGGAATCAGGCTGACTATGAACAAATTAAAAATATTCTGGTCTAGATCTGGACCTGCAATCCTGAAATTTTGGATTACCAAGTTTTCATTACTGTGATTGTTTTTCAGATTTCACCATCTTGGTTTCTACTGATAAAAACAATTAAAAGGGACACAATTCTTTAACTTTCAATAGCTCATGTTCAAATGAAAAACTTGCTGCTTCAAATTACAGTGTTTCAAAATAAAATTGTCCATGTTTTCAACTTTACTCGAGGCTGTGGCCTAACATATCATACCATTTTGGAAACAAGCCGGCTCTATGAGCAAATTGAAAACATTCCAGATCCTTTATACTTGAATTTTTCCTATTTTCATATTAACCAAATTCAAAAAAAATGTTACATCTTGTCAATAAGATTGAATTAAAAATAATAAAAAAAGAATTCAACTTACCCATTTTGGGGACCACCATCATTAGTAACATTTAGAGTTAGTAGTTGCTGTCGTAAAAAATTGACAAAGCTTTTGTGGATTCTTTGAAATATCACCTATAATAAAAGTTAAAAAAGAAATGTAATACAAAATATCAGAAAAACAAAACACAATTATCAATACAAGTTATATAAATACATATTATAAACTTAAAATAATAATATAAAAATAAAATAAAAAAGTGAACAGCAAATATAAAATAAGATATGAGGGGGAAAAAAAATTTTCCCCCCAGTGCTAAGTTTTTCTTTTCACTAAATTCCATATCAACAATCCCTGGACACTTATGCATAAATCAAATATAAGCTGCATAATGTTGAAAAAAAAGTAATATATTCTGCTATTATATCTTTGACCAGAAGTTATATGTTGATCATCAGTTGTGATCTGGTGCTAATAAAATAATGACAAAATTTATATTATAATAAATATACATTTTCCTTTCACTGGTAGCACAAGAGTTTCATGTATGGTGCAATTGTCAGGTTGTTGATTTTAAATCATATATATATATATATATATATATATATATATATATATATATATATATATATATACACACACACACAGAGTGGTGGAAAGATGGGTGTACAGCCAGCACAAATGTACCAGGCCTTGAAACCCAATGGGCATCAAGGAAATAACTTTAGGAGTTTAGGGAAGATTCTTTACATAAAGTAGAGAACAAAATTACAAATTAGTATTTTATTAAAAAAAATACAAAGACTAAAACCAGTTCCAAAGCAGCTTTTATTGAAGCAAAATGCACAATGAGTTCCTCAAAGTCTAATTCTTGTGCCAAATCACACTCAACTGCAAGAGTTGCCAAGTAAGACACACTCTTTAAAAAGTCTTGTAAGACATGCTAGATCAAGTTTGTTTGTCCCAGCATCTCCTTTTCCAACTAGGGGAGCTCAGAAATCCTCTCCCTGGTACTGCACATACACACTATTTGAACTATACACATAATTACATGCACACACAAACACACACACAGCAAAATATTATTATAATATCTTTATTATACAAGATTATAATAAAAACATTTTACATTACTATACAAAAGCTTTCATGTTTCAATACTACGATTGTACTTCCTCAGGTGATGGTTGATAACTGGTGATGAAATGATTTTTAGGGAAATTTAAAAACAAATTGTTACCTTTTTTTGTAAAATTAAAGGCTGGTGGGGTGTAAGGTCAATTAAAAATATACTTTTTGGTATGTCTCGATTAATCAATTAAATATCAACTCTATGCTAAATAGAAAAATAAGGTGGGTGAGTTGCTTTTTAATGTCATGATAAAATGTCATATAGACATGGCATCATTGATGATTGCGGAGAATATGGCAACAACAAATGTATTATAGCTGTAGCCAAATATGACATTTTATTTGTTGAAGTGGTGGTGGAGGGATTAATCAGATGTAAAATCAGAAACAAATTTAAAAAAATTATTTTTACATAATCAGGAAGCTTCTTAAAGGGGCCTGTAAATAAAATTAAAAATGTGAAACATCTATATACAATGCTAATAATACTGGATAGATGGCAAAACATAGCAATATTAAAGGTGAATAAGCTAAATAAAGTAATTACCTTTAGAAGGTGGACCATTATATGCTAATAAAATGATAGTTATAAAATTGTAATACATAATTGTTTTTTATAACAAAGTTTTTAACTATATTTTAAGACTCTATTGGCATCTCACTGTTAATTCACTTCTTTGGTTTAACAGGGCTTTTTTGTTAGCAAACTTGATTATATGGAATTTTTCTTGTAAACACAGGAAACATAGATCATGTAAAGATTTACAAGTTCTAGTTTTTTTGTTTTTTTTTAAATTTTCCATTTTAACTGTAGGGGTGGTGTTGACTTGTTTTAAGTACCAAAAATATTTAGAAAGGGACGTCCTATTTTTGTATGTGTTGTTGTTAAAAGAAGAAATATGTTGATACCACTTTGCTTTGGAGGAATTCTTGGTACTGCTAATGTAAAATTTCACTGTTGGATTTTCTATAGTAGAAATTGTACTTTAGTAAACAAGTGAATCAGTTTGACACCTATTTTGTAATGGACACTTGTTAAGATTTCTGCAATTACACATGTTGGTAAATGTTAAATTTCTCTAAAAATCATTTCATCACCAGTTATCAACCATCACCTGAGGAAGTACAATCATAGTATTGAAACATGAAAGCTTTTGTGTAGCAATTTAAAATGTTTTTATTATAATCTCTTATAATAAAAATATCATCATAATAATTGTGTGTGTGTGTGTGTGTGTGTGTGTGTGTGTATATATATATATATATATATATATATATATATATATGATGATCCTAGAGTCAGGCATGGTTTCAAGATTGAAGACCACTAACCCAGGCCACCCTAGCTCTATCTCATGACATTATCTGATTTTGTTAGTTTTTCATTACAATATGCAAATATTATATCTATGCATATGCAGCCACTATTTTGACACCTGATTCATGACAGTCATCCAAGTTTAGTTAAATATACCAAGTTCAATTAAATATACCAAGTTCAAACTGAAAATAAAACTTCAGTATCTGACTTGATTAGGAAATATATTAACCATCCAGCCATTTCTTATGTTTATCTTGCAGATATTATGTATGAAACATACTCTGATGTTAGACAAAAGTGCACTCCATAGCTAAATAATACTATCTTTTTAAGGCTACTATGTTAGGATAACATAATGCATATTGTATTTTTTTACTGTTGAAAATAGAGGTTGTTATTAAGAATAAAATATTAAAAGTTAGATAAAATGACTGGTTATTATATAATTAAGAAGTCTAAATCCTGATCCATGTTAATATAACTTGAAAAAGAAATTTAATCATATAATTGCAAAATATAAAATTTTGGGTTAGAGATTTCAGTAAAATTCAAATGATTTCTATTTAAAAATTAAAAATGTATTGGAATCATAATCTGTGAAAATGAAAAAAAATGAATACAAATGAGTAAAAACTGATTAGATTCATAAGTAAATCAGTTATACAATAAACATTTTAAATATAAAATTCCATTAAATTATTTTAACATTCAAACAAAAATTTCTCAAGATTCACATATTTCAGAAAGACTGAAATATTTTTAAAAGAGTCTTATCAAAGTTTACAACATAATATACAAATTATAAGTGAATTTTTATTTATCTACTGGTAAGAAAAAACTGATCAATTTGTTCATAAAGCACATCATTTATGGGAATTAGATACATATATACAGTTATCTTTGTACACTATTATATAATAAAGAAAAAAACTAACCTTTACTTGATGCTGAGGTAGAACATCTATGATTACTTCATGGAACTTGGTCATCTGTTTACAAACAGATCGGAAACAAGATGAAGGCATTGGTGCCTTTGCATCCCACTATAAAAAATAAATAATGAAAAGAAAGAAATAAGATTCATAAATCTTTCAAGTTACATTTCCAACTATAATTATGAATATCGTCTTTCAATAAATAGTTTATATTATTATTCTGCTTGTTTCTATTTACAATATTTTTTCTACATAGGATAAGAGTGTAGTATCTGCCCAATCCCCAGCTGAAATAAATTATGCTTTCTGAAAAAGAAACCTACACAGTAATATTAAGTGAAAAGGAATTGGGGAAGCAAGGTAGAGGAAGAATGGGAAGATAAAGTATGAAGGAAGATAGGAAAAAGAAGAAAACTATGAAAAATGAAAAGAACACTCAATGAAAAAGGAAAAAAAAAATTATATATATAAGTGAACAATGAAGAGGCGATATGCTGTTTAATGCTAGACGCAATCGTCAGGCTACAAGTGTTGGATTTTTTCATGACTATTTATATACCTGGGTCAGTGGTGCATTGTGGGTAATCCATTCTGACAGTTATTTTGGCAAGGGTGGCTTATTTATTTATTTGGGTTAATTTATTTTACTTGTTTTTTTATTTTCATTTTATATATTTATTTATTCTTTTTGGTTTTCAATGTATCATAATTTAGAATTTATCCCTTTCATATGATAATGTTATTATATTTTAATGTTACATAATTTAAAATCAATCCACACAATTTAACATTAATAGAATCCATTTATACCATACGCTACAATATCATCAACTTATTTTAAACGTTATAATTTAGAATTAATTTGTTTCTTTCTTTGTTTTGATAATATATTTTAACCTTAATAATATAAAATTCTAGCCCCCGGACGATATTGTCGATTTATTTTAAATTAATAATATAGAACTCACCCGTTTTTATACGATAGTAGTATTATATAAATTGTTAATTTATTTCAAATCAATATTTCATCCATCCCTATATGGTTCAATTTAATACCATGTTAATACATGGTATTAAATTATGGGTGGGGGATTTGCTTAGGTCACTTATTTAATAGTATGTTTTGGTCTGGGAAGATAAAGCTATGTATTCATTCAATTTTTAGATTGATTGCTGTAGTCTATTCTGCTATTTTGGTGGGTGGAACAGTTTTTAATTTGTTTATTTTATTTAAGAGAACAGCTGCAATATAAAGAATCAAAAGACCCAAAAGTGGTTGCAGCATGTATTCAATCTCGAACGGGGAGAAAATGGCGTGCAGAAAAGGAGTTGGAGATAGCAGAGGATAGACTACGGCATAAAGTAACTCTTGGCACTATTGCTAAAGGTAGAGCGGGTCTCGGTTATTTTCCTTGCCCCCAAATAAGCAAAGCCAAAGGAAAAGAAAGACGCCAACTAATCCAAGAAGAGGTTCGAGCAGGGATTGAAGAAATGAGATACTGCAAGATGGTGGGACTTAGTTCACAGGGAGCATGGACCAAATGGCAGGGTGTCAAACAAATATCTGGGTTTACATTGCTTGCGAATAAATAGGTTCTTCGTAGGTTTTATTAGTTAAATTTAATTCACAAACCCTCGATAATTTTTTATGAAACAAAATATTGTAACTTAACATCCGATATTGTTCAGGCACTGGAAATTATCATAATTTAGAATTTATCCCTTTCATATGATAATGTTATTATATTTTAATGTTACATAATTTAAAATCAATCCACACAATTTAACATTAATAGAATCCATTTATACCATACGCTACAATATCATCAACTTATTTTAAATGTTATAATTTAGAATTAATTTGTTTCTTTCTTTGTTTTGATAATATATTTTAACCTTAATAATATAAAATTCTAGCCCCCGGATGATATTGTCGATTTATTTTAAATTAATAATATAGAACTCACCCGTTTTTATACGATAGTAGTATTATATAAATTGTTAATTTATTTCAAATCAATATTTCATCCATCCCTATATGGTTCAATTTAATATCCCATCTGTCCCTCCTGGTACCGTTGATTTATTTTAACTGTAAATATGTAAAAATCAATTCATTCCATACGATAATAAAAACTTTAACAAGTTAAAACCTAACCACCTCAAACATATTATTAATGTTCTTTTTCATTTTTTTTTTTTTTTTTGTTTTGATTGAGTAGTATAAGTTATTTTTGGAGGAAAAGATTACATTTTTAATTGGTGTGAAGCAAGCTAATTCAGTTTAGAAGGAGGAAGGGGGAAAAGACACCCCCATTTTAGTGAACAGCTAAATGTACCGTTAAAATATTTTAATTGGACAGAGCAAGCAATTTTGGACGCTTCTGTTGGGTTTTTTTTTTTTTTTTTTCTTAAGAGCTGAAAGTATAAATTCTGTCACGAGCACTAGCACAATTCTTTTCACGGTGGCGACCTGTAGAATAAGATAACAGGTCGTGGGTGGCTGTTGGAGCTGATATGATGAATAAGAATCCCGAAATCAGCGATGAAGACGGCTTTCATCACTGATGACCACCTTCAAGCATTCAAATGTATTTTGCGATATTTATTTATTTGGATTGGTTATTTTTACTTTTTTTTGCTTATTTATGTTTATTTTTATTAGTTCTAACTAACCGTTTGTTAATTTGTTTTTGCTTATTCATGTTTATTTTCATTAGTTCTAACTAACCTTTTGTTAATTTGTTGATTTATTTAATTATTTGGAATAATTTTTACTTGTTTTTTCTTATTTATATGCTTATTTTTTATTTTGTATATTTTTGCTCTATTCGTTTTTTTTATTTTTGAGTAACATAGTAATTTTTTCTAGCATTATATAGCAGTTATAGCTAATTTCTCATCCAATTTTTGGATCGATTATTTTTATTTGTATTTTATGCATTTATTTTTTATTTTCATTTGTTCTACTTCATCTATTCTAATGGGAGTGGTTTGTTAATTTGTTTATTATTTGGGTTAATTTATTTTACTTGTTTTTTATATTATTTTGTTTATTTTTATTTATTGATTTCAGTTTTTGATTTTTAAGTAACGTACTAAAAATTTGTTTTCATGTCTGCATTTTGAGATGAGCTCAGATCATTTATTTAGTAATTTATTTTGGTCTGGGAAGGTAATAATAGCTATTTTTGCCTCCAAGCAAAGTTTGCAGGTTTTGGATTGATTGTTGTAGGCTGATGATCTTTTCCTTATTTTCCATGATATTTTTGGTGTGATTTGCGTTTTGATTTTAACTTCCCAGATATACTTAGAAAGCATTGTGCTGTTCACATATTTACTATTTGTGAAAGATGTTTTGTATGCATAGTTTCTTTGTTTCCAGGGTCCTTCAGTTACTCCTATGTATACTTTTTCTTCATTATCTGGTGATTTTACGATGGTTTGGTATATTATGTTGTTTTGTAAGTGTTGACTTCAATGTTCACTTTTATATTTATATTTACATACACTATCTGTGATATTGAGCACTTTATCCTATAAATACAGCACACCTTAAAACTATATTTTTTCATTTATATATATATATATATATATATATATATATATATGTGTGATGGTCTCTCTGATCATTTTTGATGTATGAATGTCTTTCAGTTCAGTTTTTATGTTGTTTTATATGAGGCAACAATCCTGCATGAAATTTGCAAACAAATCTACACGAAGGGCATACTGAAGGGTCGACTGTCATATGGATTGATGTATTAGCCCAAGATTTAATATAATTCTTAATTCTCTCAGATGGTTGTGACAATTCTTTTCAAAGTTAGTTATACCTCAGTAGCAGGTGTTTCTCCAGTTTGCTCGGTTTTCAACAGCAAGTTTGAATTCCTCTATAGGAATGTTTGCAGCAATTAAATTGTATTTAAGTTTATCCTTGAAGCGTAACCAAGGACAGCCTACATTCTGCTTACCATGAAAAAGTTGGCTATACATGAGGATTTTTGGCATCCAATCATAACTCATTCTGATGACATGACCAGCCCATCTGAATTGTGATTGCATCAGAAAGGATTCAATACCACTGACGCCACATTTGATGAAAAGATCAGGGTTAGAGATCTTGTCCTGCCGTGTATAACTGCATATTGAATGAAGACAGTGTTTATGAAAAGCATCAAGTTGATTGATGTTCGTCCTGTATGGCGTCCATGATTCTGACCCATATAGAAGTGTGGTGAGAATGACTGCTCGATAGACTCTAATTTTTGTTTTCAATGAAATCCCATGAACATCTCATAGGTGATGCTTAAGCTTCCCAAAGGCATTGCTTGCCTTTGATATTCGGTCATCCAAAGAGGCAGTTGAATTGACTTTGCTTCCCAAGTACAAGAATAATTTCACATACTTCAGGTTGTTGCTGCCAACAGTAATAGGAACGATTAGAAAGGTATGGGCAGGTGGTTTTTGTTTTACACCCTTGACCTGCTTAGATGTAGGCTTTGGTTGATGGACAACTTCAGTTTTCTTTATGCTTATAGTTAATCCAAATGTATTGCAAGCAGTGGAAAAATGGTTGATGAGTGCTTGAGCTTCTTCGATTGAGGTGGCCATAGTCGCAGCATCATCAGCAAACAAGAGATCTTACTTATTATAAAACGCAGATTGTGTGTGTGTGTGTGTGTAATGTTTATATATTGGATCGGATTTCCTACATTTTTTAGCCGATTTCAACAAAACTTCACAGGACTACATAAAATTACCTTGTGGTGGTTCTAACAGCGCCGAAAGTGGGAAAAACACAATTGTTTTTTAACAAAATCAATTTGAAAACACGATTAAGACATCGTGAGAATGAAAGGGGGACAACTCACATCGGGTTAAAAAGCCCAGGTTGTTTGTGTGTTTGTGTGTTCCTTTATATATGGGATCGGATTTCTTACATTTTTCAGCCGATAAAACAATCCACTTTTTTTTTGGCAGGTTGTGTTTCTTATTGTCTTGCACATTTTTTTCTTTATTTTTACATTCAGAATGCTTTAAAAATTCCATTTACAAGATAATTGTTTATAATAAAATTCTATTCATCAATCGATAGACTCATAACGATTGTAAACAATGTTTTTGTTTGAGTTTAGGTTTGACCAATTCGTAAAAAAAACAAAACAAAAAAAACTAATTAAGACATACGTGTCCGTCAACCTTAAACATTAATCTTTGTCAATTTTATTTTTCAGTCTTTATGATGGTCGATACTTGATCTATCTCTTACTGTTACATCCCTGGGCAACGCCGGGCTCTACTGCTAGTCATGAATAATGCTTGCTTGAGTCAGCAATTTTGATTTAAAACGTTGATGGTCAAAGAGGCTGCCACTTGTGCAGAATAACAAATTTCATACCTAAGTCAAGATTACTAAAAGTATGGTGTAGTATAAATGAAAAGAAGAGAGTGAAAAGTACAGGAGCCATGACACAACCTTGTTTTGTGCCATTTGTTACATCAAAGGTTTCTGAAAACTCTCCTTTAGATAGAACATTCCTTCATGAAACGAGATGATGACATTTAGCATACTTTCAGGTATGCCAAGCTTTTTGAGTACTTTTCTGTTTAGAGTGTCAAACACTTTGGTCAAATTGATAAAGACGGTATAGAGTTCATGGTTCTTCTTACAAACTTTCTCAGCAACCTGATGAAATGAAAAAACCACACTGAGATTTGGGATGGATGTCGTCAATGAGATATTTGATTATTTTGTTGAGAATAACACAAGCGAGAATTTTGCTAGCGATACCTAGAAGTGCAATGCCACAGGAATTATCACATACAAACTTTTTGCCTTTGTTCTTGAACAGATATTTTATGCAAGCATCTTTGTAGACCTGTGAAACAGAACCTACCTTCCATATGACATCAGAATTTAAGGGGTGAGATCTTGATTTGTTTAGAAACCATAGTGCTAACAAGAGATTTCTTGTGTACAAGTCAAAAGGATGCTTTGCTATGTAGTAGAGCATGGTCTGGAAGATAGCAAGTGTTATGGAAAGAGCGGGTGATATTGAAGTCTTTCACGTCACATTTCTTGGTGATAATGTAATCAATTATATGCCAGTCTTTGGATATGGGATGCATCCAAGTCATTTTGTGATTACTGGACTGCTGATAACATGTGTTGACAAGGACAAGATCAAATTCTTGGCAGAGAGAAAGTAGTCGTAGCCCATTAGAATTCATATTCCTGATCCCATGAATGCCAAGGACACCAGGCCATGTCTTATGGTCAGCACCAACCCGTACATTAAAGTCTTCCATAATAACAAGTTTGTCTACGTGGAACTTTGGAAATGACGGAGTTGATCATAAAAGTCATCAATTTCCAACACAGGGATGTTCATGATTGGGGCATAACAGCTCACAAGAATGGCAGAAGAATTGTTGTTGAGTTCTAAGACTAGAGTCATATATATATATATATATATATATATATATATATATATATATATATATATGCTCTGTTGTTACATTGAGTTCTCTGGATTACATCCTCTTTGGAATTATCCATACAGATTACCAAACCCCTCATTACCTTACTATATATATGTGTGTGTGTGTGTGTGTGTGTGTGTGTGTGTGTGTGTGTGTGAGAGTTATTTCATTTGTAGTGATGACTACAGAAGTTAGTGGTTAGTGTATTACCTGACAGTTCCAAAGTACTTACAAAACCAGAAATTGAAAAGATGGAATACAAAAACAGAATACAACAATTGGGGAAAAAATGTGAAAATCTTTGAAAATGAAAGATTTAACGAAATATGCAAATATTTTAACAGCACATGTAAATTAGTTAACAAATAATACAAATTAATTAGTCTTCAGTATTATACACATTTTAACACACAATACATAGTTGTTAATATTATTAAAGAAAAATGTTTTAAAATAATTTGTTAAAACTCACCTTAATTACATAAGATTCTGTTAATCCTTCCATAATTGCCACTAATTTATTTGATATTTCTTCAATATGATCCAAATAATCCTAAAGACAAAGAAAATTAAAAATACATCAAATTAATTTAAGATTAAAATAGATATCACCACATTAGAAATGAGGTTATATATATATATATATATATATATATATATATATATGTGTGTGTGTGTGTGTGTGTGTGTGTGATTTTCTCCTTCTGTGTGCTATGTCACTTCAGAACATGGGCAATCATAACTTCACAACTTACTATCACTGCTTTCCTGTTCCTTTTGCCTTCAATATGTTCTGTGAGTTATATTTTCTATGCTTTCTTTTTCATTATGTATCCAAGAAATTCTCTTTCTGATTTTACAGATAACTATCCTTTTTGTTTAAGTTTTCTTTAAAAACTCCTCATTGCTTACATGCTTCATCTATGGTATTCTCAACATCCTTCTGTAGAACCATGTTGCTATTGCCTCAAGTATCCACTCCATTTGTGAGGAAATTGTCCAGTATTCACTGCCATGTAAGACTAATATTACATAGCAGTTCAGCACTTACTTTTTAGCAGATACTTTTTGCTATTCCAATACACTTTTGGATCACATTATCTCACCCCTAAACACTTTCCAGATATTTAAACTTCTGCATTTGTTTGATTTTGACATCTCTAATTTATAAGTTGCATCTCTCATGTGTATGTGTGTGTATATATATATATATATATATATATATATATATATATATATATCAGAGAGAGAGAGAGAGTAGCAAAAAGCTTTACACATTTTTCTTGCAAGAAATGCCTATAATCAGTTTCTCCTTTCATCCATGACGTGTAGCCAGTTCACTACAGCAGTCAACTATCTTTTTTCCTTTCCACTATATCACCTCGTTCTTCACGTTTTTATGTATCATTGACAGCCAAAATTTGCATATGCACTACTCTAAGAGCTAGCTGTTTTATATGTGTAACCCTTGAAGCTGCCATTTCTTTCTCCTTCGGATGGTTTACATGCAAGGCACATTCAAATCTTTGTGCATGCTGGAGGTAAGTTATTTTATTCTTAATTCAATTCTAACATTGCAAAAAATACATGCAACCCTGGACCTCTTTGCCCTTGGGGTAGTATTATTTTTTTTTTAAATCCACATTACAACCAAAGACATTTGCAGTTTCTCTCTTTTTTATTATACACACTTTTCTCTCATTGAAACTACTATAACCTCTTCCCTTTATATATATATATATATATATATATAAAAGCATTCTGATAATAAATATAGTATTTCTTGTTATTGTCTTTGTCCTATTTCCAGCAGCTAGGTGATGTGGCTCATTAAGCTGAATATCTGATGGAGCTCCCATTCTTTTTACACCTGTCTTCTTAGGCAGTGCTATGAAAATAGATTTACTAAGATCTACCAGTATATGGCCACTGCCAAATATTTAATTTATATTCATAATCTTGTCAATGCCAAATTTTTCTAAGGCTGAGAGCATTTCTATTACAATTCCATCTGGTTCTGTTACTTTGTCCCTGTTGATCTTTCCCCATACCAATTTTACTTCTTTAGTATTTCAGGTACTTTCATATTTTTATTTAATTCAGGTTCCTCACTCTCATTGTGTAATAATAGTTATTCGCTATATCTTTGGACTATTTTTGTCTTTTTCTATTATTAGTGTTCCTTCTTTCAATTTTATACAACCTCTTGATAAGCATTTTTTTTTCTTTCTTGCATACTTGCCTTATCTATGATAGTCATTCTTTCTATTTCCTCACACTTCCCATTAAGTCATTCCTCTGTAGTTTGCTTGCATTTGTTTCTAATTTCTGTATTTAATCTTCTATAATCTGTACCATCCCTTGGCATTGTTTATTGTCTGTTTTTCATCATATCAAGAATTTCATCTCACATCCAATTTTTTTTTTTCCCGTCTCATTTTCCTTGGAGTGATCTTATTTGTTGATGTTATTAGTGCTTCTCTCAATGTGTTCCACTTTGAATTTCCAGTCTTATTGAAGTTATATTTGCTTTTTAGCTTTGTTAACATACATCTCTTTGCAATGTGGGTCTTTCAGAAGTTTACTACATTCTAATTTAGATATTGCTTTGGTCTTATTTTATGTCTGTAATTTTATTCTAAGGTTGCATATGATTGAAAAGTGGTCACTTTGCAGTTTGCACTTGGATAGTTTTTACAGTGTATAAATGCATTTCTGAACCATTTGTTATGTAATAAATCTGATTCTTCATGTCCCTTGGCTTCTCCATGTCCTGGGGATGGTTACGAATGCATAGTCCCAGAATGTTAATATTCAGTTTATTCATCTCCTACTTGATATTTTCAAGTTGGCTTTATTGATACAACATCCTCACATTCCATAACCTATTACTATTTTCTTATTAGACAAACAATTTCCAACTTTTACCCTCATCTTAAATTTTCTTCCTTTTTTTTTGTTTTGGTATCACAATTAACAATTACTCTAAATCTTTAAAAACCTCTATTTTCTTAGCTGAGGCAAGGTTTATAAGAATATTTAGGTATGTGTTCCTATAATAAATATTTAAATATAATTTCAAAAGCAACATCAAGAAGGTAATACACAAGACTGTTTAAAGAAACACATCTGATAATCTTTAAAAGCACAATTGAAAACAGTGATAAGAAAAAAGAAAGAAAAAAGCTAGTCAAATTAAAGAAGTCAACATCTTTATAATATTGGGAAGGAAAAAAGAATTTTAAGTTAACTTTCTCATTGAAAAAAAACCCTCAAGAAGGTGTTAGGATTGAAGATGACATCTAATTACATATCAGTATCAACAACAAGAAACTCAAAGGGATACAAAGTAAACATCATTCTAGCTTATGACCCCCACTTCAACAAACCTATTTTTAGCATTGTGATACTTAGAAGTGAAAAATCTAGCAGTCTTTAAGGAAGGCTATGATCAACAACAAATTTTGAAGATTGATACAGGACAAATGAAAAAAATAATTCCATAAAATTATTAATAATAAATGTTTGGTATCATACTTTACAACCAGATATTTTTTCTATTTGAATAAGTTTAATAAGATAATATTATTGTCTTAAGAAAAAGAAAAATTTGAAACAACACACCTTTGTTATTTGATCCAGATGTTTCAACATATGCTTTTTGTTGTATAACTTTGGCTTGAAATGATCTTTTACGTAAGGGATATAGTGCACAATGAGTTGAAGACACCGAGAGGCAAGGGCTAAAAGATTTAGAAAAAGTAAAATGAAAAATATAGTAAAATGATAACATATATAACAATAAAAAACTAATTCTGTCTGATCAATAATGAAGAAACAAAATTTTAATCATTATTCAATTTTAGTTACTGTATTCATTTTAGTTGCTGTGTACTCTGATGAGAGAGGACTGAAAAACCAGTTTAATTGTTTTGTTAATTGCGTTTTGTATTTCACTATTACCACTTTATAGTAACATAGTTTTTTGTTGTTTTTTTTTTTTTGTTTCCTCATTTTTTGTCATTTTTTCTTGTTTTCACATATTCATATCACAATAATTAGATTTTACACTCCTACAAAAATATTTCCCAACTTTCAAAGTAAATTTTTTTTAAAGCAAGTAAATAAAAATGCCTACTTCCAAACTATTTGGAATGAACAATTCTACATACCTAAATTTTTTGTTGAAATAGTTTTCAAACCAACTAATTGTAAAGCTCCAGCACCAAGTACCAATTGGCAAGTTCGAGAGTTAAAAGTCTGAAACAAAATTATATAAAAGAATTGGAAATTGCAAAAATAATCTTTTCTTGATTATTTTTCCATATGAATAAATTTTTTAACTATTTGTAAGAATATATTTTTGATTTTAATTTAAAGATTTCTACTTAATATTTCATGTAAATAAATGTGAAAAATACAGTGAATTTTTTTAAAAATTTTAATCTTCTAAAAAAAAATAAATTTAACATTACATTTATTTCGAACTCAATAGGTTATTTCATTTATCAAGTTAAAAACATGATTTTGCCAAATTTAAGTTTAATGAGTACACAAGACTTGTTATATTTAATATATTCAACATTCATTGTCACCTTAAATATTTGAACATACAGCACAACAAAATAAACATGTACTCAGTATTGAGTCTAGTGCATTTCAACAGTTATTTATATTGTCTTACATAAAATTTAAATTAGATACTTGTAATATACCACAAGATGTACATGAGTGCAGTGAGGTAGTGAATAGGTTATTGGATTTATCATATTTCTCATGTCCCTAAAAATAAATTTTCATACCTTAAATACAAAATTAGTAATCAAAAGAAGCACTTTGAATTCAAAACTTATACTAGCCTTTAACAAAAAGTAACATTTATTTCTGCATAACTACATTTAGAATAGTCTTTATAAAATAAAATCATTCTTTATAAATATTTAAGAATGAGAAAAATAACTATCTTGAATTTACCTTCAATAAATCAATTAACCTTGTGAGAATATCTTGGGCTGCAGCAGGGATATCATCAACACACTCACAATATTCAACCATCATTTTCAGCAACATTAAAACAGTACTAGAAAAATAAAATAAAATGGATTACACAGAAAAGCAGTGTCAGTCTTTAATAAAAAAAATAGAATTAACTTCACTAATATTTACAATGTTAACCTTTCAAGATCCCTTGCAATCTATGTAACTCTTTCAAACATCCTTGAACTTAAAACAGTGTTGGGTGGCTGACTGGATGGTGTCTCATAACCAGTTCACCATACATGATGTCTTTTGGTATACAGCTGTCATTCATATGATGTACATAACCCAGTTATCAAAGACAATGTTGACAAAGGAGAAGATTCATGTTCCAGAAGTCTGCTTGCTCCAGCACAACAGTTTGTGATGCCAAGGATACATTGTAGATAGCGAAGATGGAAGCTTTCCAGGCATTTTTCCTGCTTGATGTATGTTGTTCAGGTTTTACTGTCATAAAGCAGTGTACTAAGGAAACATGCCTGGAATACCTTTAGTTTGGTGCACAAGATCAGCTGACTGTTGTTCCATACTCTCTTGCTCAATGTGCATATCACTGCTGCTGCTATGGTATGCTGATTGACAGTGATGCAGAAACATCTTGACTCATGAAGTTTGTTTTTTTATGTTAATAGTCAGCCCAAACTCCTTACTGGAATGGTTGAACTGACTAATCAAATTTTTCTTTGATGGTACTTATATGCATCTTGGTCTTTGCCCTCAGGTGGGCCAAGTTGAATAATTTACTTTTGCTTCTTATGTGTAATTATACATAATTTACTTTTGCTTCTTATGTGTAATTATACACCTTCTTCAGCTTGTCTGAAAACAAAGATCAATAACATGGGAAAAAAGATACCAAACAAAGTTAGTGTTAAAATGCATCCTTCTTTTACACCACTCTGAATAGTGAAGGGTATTGAAGTTTTACCATCATAGCTAATTACACCCTGCATGTTCTCCTGAAAAGAAGTGATGATGCTCAGAAACTGTGGGTGACAGCCAAGTTTCATTAGTAACTGAAATATACCTTTTCTGCTAACAAAGTCAAACACCTTTCAGAGATCAATGAAGGCAATATATAATGGCATTTGTCATTCACAAAATTTCTCCAGGTGTTGACATAGAGAGAAGATCATGACACCCATGGATCTTTTAGCCCTGAATCCAAATTATGATTCTGGATAGATATTATAAGCAAGAACTTGGAGTCATGTTAAAACCATTCAGAGTTTTCCAACAATGCTTAACAAGAAGATACCTTGGTAGTTATTGCAGTCACTACATTCACCCTTGTTTTCATACAGGGTAATTATCTTGGCATTGCACATCCTGAGAAACCTCGTCTTCTCTCCAGCAGAAGCTGACATGACTATGTAATGGTTTGAGTAAAGCTGGTTTACTGCATTTGATGATCTCTGGTGATATGCCACCTTCATCCAGTGCTTTATCAATAGCTAAAGTGCCAATAGCTTTCCTAAGCTCTTCCTTTGTAGGCTCAGAGTCTAGCTGTTCCAGGACTTGCAGACTCTGCTTTAGTGACAGAATTTTTTCTTGAGTAAAGTTCTAGGTAATACTCTACCTATTGTCCTATTTGTTTGACCTTTTCTGTAATTAATTCCCCTATCTTTGATTTCAAGGATACAAACTTCTTTGTTGGTTTGCCAGTTGCTTGCTTAATGTCCTCATACATGTTCTGGATGTTGTGTTGACTGAAACCTGTTATATACTATCTTACAGATTAAGTCAATAGTCATTTTCATAGCAACATGCAGTTTGCTGGGTATTGCTACAAACAGCTATCAGAGTCTGTAGATTTTACTGAGTCTAATCAGTGCTTAACATTGATGACCGACTCTAATGTAGAGATTAGAGCCTCAAATCAGTTTTTGTATCTTCTTTCCATGAGTTGACATTGCAGCATTGTAGATGGTGTTCCAAAGGAAGTTCCATCTGTCTTTAATATACTGTGATGTTGTAAGCTCTGGTGTTGCAGCCATTGTTTAGAGAGTCATGTCTGGAGATGACCAGGTCCAGCTGGTGCCAATGATTTATCTTAGATATTTTGATGATGCTTTGTTGCAAGCTTTGTTCCAAAAATAGGTGTTTGTCACAGATAGCTTATGATAACAGCAGAATTCTAGGAGTCTTTGGCCATTCTCATTAATTTATGCCATGGTGACCTAACACATTTGGACAGTAGTTTTGATCAGCACCCACCCTCACATTGAAGTCTCCTAGAAAGTAAATATTATCATATGATGGTGTACAGATGACAATGCAGTCAAGTTGAGCAAAGGACCAGTCTTTGTCTTCGGGTGTGACTTGGAATGTTGATATTTAGATGCATACAAGGTTTATAAGGACTGTATAAGGCAAAGGGTGTGAATTCTCTCTGTGCCACTTGCATACAGCACAGGGTGTTCCCGACCACAAATCAAATTCCATATTCCCTGTATTCATCAACTCCTCTCCCCTGTCAGAAGAAGGTGTCTTTTAGAGGCGCACTTTCTGGAAGTTGTGTTCCCTGTAGAGTTGCCATATCTGTTTAACTTCTAGAAAATATATGCTTATTTTCATAGACTTTTTCTTTTAATATTAAGAATATAAGTTTAAATTAATAACGAATCCATGTGCTGTTATGGTTTTTAAATTCAATTACATATTTGAATATATTCTTTATTTATTAACAAACATGCTTACAAAATATTATTATGAGACATTTTCTAATTATTAGTCTTGTGCTGCATTCATGGTCAGAAAAATATTATTTGTAATTGATGTATTCTGAACTCTTGAAAATAAGAAAAAAAATTGAGGAAAAATAAATAATTCAAAGAATTAAACAGAATTTGTAGTCTTTTTTCTCTAAGAAAATATGAATACTTTCCGGTTTTACCAATAACACAAGGGACACAACTATTGACTTATTTAAAATTTACCTTAAGAAGAAAAGTAGGATCACTGAAGAAGCTTTCATTATTTGCATTTACTTACCCAACAACAGCAAATTTCTCTTCATTAACAACAATGAATTCGGCAGGTTTTTTACCTGTAAATATTAAGATATTTATAAGATACATTAACATATAAAACAGGAAAAATTATTATTTGTCTATAGCAATGCTATAAAATATTTTTCCTCAATCAATGATAACCATTTAAATTTTTTTTAATTTTTTCAATAAAAACAAGTAGGCATTTTTTTACCTGCAATTTTACAGGCCAACTAAAAAACAAGTAGATTGAGTAGTATTGATCAACTTGTTTGATTTTGTGGCTTATCAACTTTTTTTTATCAGCCAAAACATTTCAGATTGTAGGAGTTCACTTACAGTGCCCGGAATTCACAAGTGGTCACCCATCTAAGCACTGACCACGCTTAACACTGCTTAACTTTGGTGATCAAATGCAAATCAGTGTTTTCAGTGTGGTTTGACCATAATCATATTGAGTGGTAACATCAGTCATTATCATAACTTTTATACCCATCAATAAGAAAAAAAAAATATTTTGATCATGTCATTATTAACTAATTGAATGTTTACCAAACAAGGTTACCTTTCAGCTTATCTTTTTTTAAATTGTAAAGGACTGAGAAATAATCTTTTAAAATGAATACCAAAAAAAAAAAAAAAAAAAAAAAAAAAAAAGAGAGAAATAGTAACATGTAGAAAATGAAATTATTGGCAAGTACAGACTAGAATCATGTAACAAGCAATAATAATCACCAAGTGATTCAGAAATGGAGTTGTACAAGTAAAATGTATCCAAATGCTGTGATGGTGGTGACTACCATCCTGTCATATACAAACTCAAACTAAATTAAAAAAAACACTTAAGGCCTAAATTCCAATATAACACACTCCAGAATGACTACACTTGCAAAGAGATGTAAGAGTTAAAAGCAAATATAATAACTTAGATGAGACTGGAAATTCAAAGTGAAACACATTAGGATCTATAACATTGGTGAATGTGATAGTCCAAAAAATAGAGACAAAAAATAAATAGATGACAGATGAAATTTTCAAACAAGCTGATGAAAAAGAGATATGAAGAGAAATGATACAAAATATAGAATATTAAGCAGGTAAATTAGAAACAAATGCAGGCAGGCAAAAGATGAATGGCTCAATGAAAAGTGTACAGAGATAAAAAGAATGAACATCATAGATATAGGCAGGCATAAAATAAATAACAGAACAAGACCTGATCCTCAAAAGGATGCATAAAATCAAAAACAGAATGTTGATAATAGACAGAAAAGTATTTTAGAGAACTCTTCCACAGCAAAAGAGAGAAACTGACAATAGACAAAAATAATAAATGACCTGAAATATTAAAATCCAAGATAAAATTGGCATTAGCCAAAATGAACAGGAACAAAGCAGCAGGACCAGATAGGATCATGGAAAAGCAAATGAAATATAAAACAGTAGGGACATACCATAAAACCATCTTCATAACACTGCCTAATAAGCCAGGTGCAAATGAATGTAAGTTCCATTGGACAATCAGCTTAATGAGCGATATAACTAAGCTTATCATCCAGATTCTAATGAATAGAGCACGTAGTAGAATTAGATTGGAAATAGGACAAGATCAATGTAGTTTTGTTAAAGACAATCAGACAAGAAATGTGTTGTTTATGATCAAAACAAAGTGATTAATGCAAATGCTGAAGGATGTTTACCTATGTTTCATGTATACCTATATTTTATAGACTATGCAAAAGCATTTGATAAGGTACAATACAAAGATCTATTTAAACTATTAGGAATAGTTTATTTAGGAAAGACATGAGAATAATTCAGAATATTTACTGAGATTAAATCACCTGCATACAGAGAGAAAATGAATTGGGCAAATAAAAAAATAGAAATGGGCCAAAGATAAGAACACATCTTCTAAATGGATTTATTATTGACAGACACAATTTTAACAACATAAAAAATGCTGATGACACTGTTGAAGGCATAAACACAGAAAACTGTAGGAACTTCTAAACTAGATAGTAAAGGAAAGTAAGAAGAAAGGAGAAACCATTAATTGTAAAAAGATGGAATCTATGATTCTCAGCAAGTAGAAAATGTCAAGATGTGAATTATGAATTGAAGATCAAGCAAGCACTGAAATTTAAATATTTAGGCAGTGTTTTAACAGACAATGGAAAATGTGACACCAAAATCCAAAGGCACATCAGAATAACAAAATATACCTTCCAAAAGCTAAACAAAGTATTAAAAAAAGAAAAAAATTGCACTGAAATGCTATGTAATATTAATCTTTCCATGTGGCAGTCAACGCTGGACAATTTCCTCACAGAGGTTGAGACATGAGGCAACAGATATGTGATTCTATAAAAGGATGTATGAGAATACTATGGACAGAGCATATAAGCAATGAGGAAGTTTTAAATAAAATGGAAACCAAAGAAAATACTTCAAATCAGAAATACTTCAAATTTCTGACACATAAGGAAAAAAGGCTTAGAGAATTTGACACTCACAGAACATATTAAAATAAAAAGAGACAGAAGGAAACAGTGACTAACCTAGCTAACAAGCTTCTCTAAATGGATTGCAGAATAAGGAGTGGGAGGGACAGTAAAATGGTTAGCACTGCTAAGAGCTACAAAGGAGTGAATATAATCACTCATATCATGAAGGTATATGGCACATAGAAGAATGGATTATTCAGATACAGTAAAGATAGTAATGGTTTACAAGCAAGTCTTGAAGACAAGAAATTTTGTCCTTAATATCCCATAATTCAGAGTAAACTAAATAAATATCTAAAGCAAGTAATACAAAATTCAACAAATAATCACGTTTTTAATGGTTCAACAACACAGTTCCATACAGTTTCAAGTTTACTGAAATCTAAGGAAATCATCTCTCAGATTTGTGCCAAATTACTTGATAACATTGATTTTAATCTTAGAACCATTTTACAATTTTATTTGTAGAACTTTATTAAAATTTAAACAGAGGTGGAATAAATGTCTGAATGTAGAACACAAACCTAAATCAATTCGCTTTTCTGGCAACTGCATCCGTCCTAACAAAAGAAAATATAAAACAACAATTAGTAAAATATTTATATTTATATATATATATATATATATATATATATATATATATATATATATATATATATATATAAAAAAAATTTTTTTTTAAAATTAAAAAAAGTAAAAATAAATCATTTTCATTCATTATTTAAAAAGTAAATAAAACCCAAATATTTTCTTATGTAGTTTTTTTCTGCTACATGTTTACAATACTAAAAGCTCTGAAGCTACAGAGATATTTTGTGTAGTTTTCCTTGTAATTTGAAATTTGTTTTCAAGTTTTCTGATAGTGAACAAAATAGGAAATAAACTTTAAATAAACATAACTTTGTTTCTTGAGAGCAAAAAAAAAGAACACTGACTACATTTTGATTCAAGGAAACAATAAGTATAAAACCAAAAACTAAGATTTATTAGAATATGTGATACAAACAGGTTTATATAATATTTAAAATATGAACCCAACACGTGATTTCAATCCATGCAACCCAATAATATAACAATTTAAGCAATAATAAAATATTCAATAATTTCATATTCAGTTAGTACAACTTAATGCTCCAAACACATTCAGCTAGCACAATTTCATTAATATGTATAAAATAAATGATAGCTATCAATTTTGTTTTTTTAAAAAAAATACTAATTTTAAATGAAAATACTAACTGATTTTCTTTATGATTCTTAGATGTTTGATAAGCTATTAAAAGTAAATCATTTTTTTTTAATTGGGCTCTGTTAGCTATTTCTTTTTCCTTTATTGTACTGCTTCTCAGGACTGTACATTATTAGACAAAATATCTGATAATATAGAAATGGTTCTTTTTCTATATTCATCTGCAAACATTTTTGTGTTTGGTGATTTTAATACTCAAGTGGCTTAATCCTTCTAATGTTATTGATGTTGCTAGTATTCAGACTTTGTAATTTTTCCATTGCTCAGACTCTCGGTCAAATAAGGGATTTCCCTACTCGTTTCCCTAATAATTCTGATCAACATGCTTCTTTACTCAATTTAATCTCTAACAAGTTTGGTTCTTGTAATTACAGGCAGTTCAGTAATAGTGCATTAGACAGTAAGTCTTCTATTCATATTCTCTTCACTCAATTTAAGGTGTTAATATCTACTGATAAAGCAGAATGTTCCACCTATAAATTCTCTTCTAATTCCCTTCTTGATTTCTCTTGAGTATCTTTGCCTGGCTTTCCACTTAGAACTGAATATCTGTTGTGTGATAGGCATATAACTCAATCCATGGTTTCTAACTTCACAATAAATAACTTGCTGCTTGTTGGAAATCCACTTCTTTAGTTCCAGTCACTCAGATGAATTGTATGATCCTTCTATCGGTCTATTAACTTTCTAACTCTTTTTGGCAAAATACTAGACGTTCTAATCAACTCTGAATTTTCGCACCTCACAGGGTCTTCTTTCAGATAAGCAATATGACTTTCACTTTTCTTGGTCAACAGCTGATCTATTAACAGTTATTGCTTAAGACAGGAATGATGAAACTCTCTGGCTGTTTGATATTTCTAAGGCATTTAACAGGGTTTGGCATGCTGATCTTCACAAGTTGAAAGGTTATGGCATTTCTGAATTAATTTCTAATTCAATCTTTCATATCAAATTGCAAAATGAAAGTTGTCTTGAATGGCCATTCTTCTAGATCTTTTGTATTAATGCAAGTGTTCCCCAGAGCTCTATACTTGGATCTACGTTGTTCCTAATTTTCATCAGCAACCTTCCTGATTTCATCAATTCTCAACTCAGTATCTATGCTGATGACACAACTATTTACTCCTGTTTTAATAGTAAAGTCAAATTGGCAATGAACCTCAAAAATGACCTACAATCTGTTGTTAATTGGGACAAGGAATGGCTTGCTAATTTTAACATCTCCAAAACAAAATTGCTCTTTTTTTAATCATCTGAGAGAATCCTTTTTGTCTTCCATCTGCAAAGCAGATACTAATATCCAGAACATTTCTCACTGACAGACATGCAGTGGAAAGATTACATTGAATCAATTGTTAAGTCTGCTGCTAAGAAAGTTGATTCACTGTGTCATGCTAGGCAATTTTTCTTGCCAGAATGTATCTTACAAACTTATGTCTACCATTTGTCCATGCCTGGAATATTGCTGTCACAATAGTGGAAAGCTTCTGCTAAATGAAATGGTTAGATGTAACTATAATTTCTATGGCAACAGTTTCTTATCTTGCACTTCTCACTTGTGGAACACTCTTCTGGCTTGATCCTCAGAAGTTTAAATTCAATATCAATTTTTTATTTTCTGTCTTCTTAATTTCTCTTCTTTTATTGTTCTCACTCCTCAATGTTTTTCCTATTCTTATATTCTTTCACACTCAGTAATCCCCCTGCATTTTAGTGGCTTCTCTTCACATCTGCAGGCTTTGGCCGTTCCTTACAATCTTTTATCATGTACACCTAAAACATTTTCCACTAAACCTTCTTGTCTGTTCCATTTCTGGTTCCTTAGTGGTCAGGCTTTATGCTACAGCTCCTTTTCTGAGGTGTTCTCCTGCTCTGTTCATGGTTAGCACCCTAGTGGCAGTTTGCTCATTTTTAGTTTCTACTTGGAGCAGCTGCTGAAGTGCGATTGATATTAGGTCTGGGAATTCATGCACAAATGCCAGCTTTACCATCCTCCCAACACTCCTTCCCACGAATCTTACTAAGCCTTATGTTGTTAGCATAAATATCAATGGATTCACCTATCCATTTGGATTTTATCAATTTTCCATATGCTACGAAAGGTCTATCTATAAAGGCCTTGAGTAGCATTGATTCAATCATCATAACATCTGTCATATCAGTCTCATTCATCTCCATATAGAAAGCCAATGCATCCCCCTCAAGATACAGTAGAATCAGACTCACCCAGTGATATGTTGCAACATTGCAACCAATTTCACTTTTGTGATCCATGCCACTACATCTCCCTGTCTATCAAAAGGGTCTAATAGTGTCTCTGGCCATACACATTCTCTCCCTCTCTCTTTCCATGATGAAATGCCAAAATAGCTTGTTGTCTCACTTGATATAGAGAAACAATAGAGAGAAAAAAAAAACTCTTCTTTTCCTCTTTCTCTTGTCCTTTCCTCTCTACTGTCCTTCACTCACCAACACAGTTTGAAAAGGAAAAGCAAAATCTCACTGCCCATCATTCTTTCCAGCTTTTATACAACCACCACACACCCATAATGCATTTGGCACTTCCATATACAAGTGTTATTTCCACTTTCCTAGTTTTCCACTTCCACTGTTGGTAAGTTTTTGAGTTTTTTTCTCTCATCTCTTTATCACACTAATAATGGTATTCTTTGGGTAGAGGGCAGCAAGTAAACAGCAGAGCTAGTCTGGATTTTATGTTTACAAATTCCAATATATTTAAAGATTTAACTACATTTGCTCTCATTTTTAATTTTGTTTTAAAGTTTAAAAAGATAGCACATTTCACAATATACATGTATTCCTTTATTACATGAAAAGCCAAAGTTGTTTCAACATTTCAATTTCCTGATTCCACCATTGATTCCATCACCACAGAAAATTCTTTGTTGTCTCTGATAGACTACTATGCTATGTTCACAATACTAGAGAAAGTAGCTTGACCTGCCCAACTCTTACTATATGATAATCACCCAGTAAGCATCAAACTGAATATTATGTGGAATCACACACAATATCAATAATTAGAAATCAACAATAAGTAAGTCTGCTATAATATGACATTTTTCACAAAAATCCCCAAAATAATGCTAAGTAAGAAATAATGCATGTCTGTAAATAAATAAATTGAATTTAATCAACCCTAAATTTTTCTTATCTCCCCAAAGTTTCTTTAATAATTTTTATTTGTCGTGAACTTTTAATGCTTTAGAGTATTTTCAAAAATATATTAATTTTATTTAAGATTTAAAATCTTACTCAGTATATTTCTAACATTTATCAATTAAGGACAATTCTTTAAATTATTTGCCTGAATGTTATTTACAAGAATTTTGATCAGTTGTTGATTTTAAAAATTACACACAAAAAACATAAATGATTAAATATTTGAAGCAAAATAATTTTAAAAAGTATTATAAATACCTAATTTGCTTATGTGATCAACCATTTCTTGGAATTCTGTTGGTACATCAGCTTGTTTCCACCTTTCATTGTCTAGTATCAAACTATAAAATAAACAAATTGTATTTTACTAATAATTTCAGTAGAATATAACATTTTGTATTACACACATACAATAAAAATTCTTAAAAGGTAAAACTGCTTAAAAAAATAAATAAACTATGAACATAAATCAGTTCCAATTGATAATTCTAAATCATGAACATAATTTAATAATGGAAACATTTTTTAAAGTAGGTATCACTAACTTCAGCTGCATTTTGAACTCTCATAAAACTTAATATACTAATTTAACCTCTATTATCTTTAGTTTAAGTTACCCCCAACTCCCTACCCCCCCCCCCCCAAAAAAAAAAAAAAAAACAATTTGTAAGTTTGAATTAATATTTATCCCAAAATGCAAGAGTAGAGATGCTTGAAATTTAAAAAAAATTGAAAATTTGTGTTTGATGGGGAGCTTCAAGGTTTACCTTAAAATCAAAATGAGAAAGCGACTATACTTAGGGAACATTTGTTACTATGTATGTATCCAATATTTTCAATCTTAGATGGTTCCAAATTAAGCTTAGGAAACTGAGGCAGTCTGAACTGTTAGCAAAATCAGCTAAACATAGATGTACAAAAATGCAAAAATCTGGCTGGACAGGTAATTTTCAATAAGTAAATATTGAAAGGAAAGTAGTGATTCAGTACATGCTAATTTTTATTTTAACTAATATAAGTTTACTTGCAACTTCAATGTGCTGTGTTTCTTAAAGACATAGGCAATCATTGCTCTGCACAACTTTCTATATCTTTGTGGCTTTTAGCAGTTTTTCTCCCTTTGTTAAGGTTCCCCACTCGTCATTCCACCATCCAGTCATACAAACTTGTCAGGTAAGTGGCTTGCTGTTTTCCCCTATCTCTCTTGCCCTCAATATGCCCTGTGAGGATAAAGTTTCCAGGGTCTCCTTTCTCATTATGTGTGTCATAGCAATTTCAGCTGCCTCTTCCTAATTGTAAGTGTCCTTTTTATTGCCATTTTCTTTAAGATCTCTTTTTTTTTTTTGCTTACTTGCTCTGTCCATGGAATTTTCAGTATCCTTCTGCAAAACCACATTTCTGCTGACCCTAGTTTTTTTCCCATCCTTGGGGAAATTGTCCAACATTCACTGACACATAAAAAGATGGATACCACACAGAAAACCAGCATTTTTTCATTTCTCAGCACCTTGTTTCACTAGTCACTGTGGAGGTTAAATAAATCTGGAGAGTAGAGATACCCTTGTCTCACACCACTTACTATTTTTGTATAGCTACTCAGCTCATTTCCTATCCATATGACAGGTTTGGTTTTGTTCTTTTGATGGTTTACAATAGGATCTGATGACAACCACATTCTTATTATGTCAACAAGATTGTCTTTATGAGATGTTTTTCTTGAAATGTTGGTACACGCACTTAAGATTTCGTTACATCCTTCAAAACCAGACTCCTGAAGGGAACAATCAGTTATGTGCCATGTGTGATACACGCTTAGGCAATCATGTATCTTCCGATTCATAATTGACAAGGCAGATTTTTTCCTGCAATAGGTTGCCATTTCTTTCTGCAGTAGACCAGTTGCCATCCAAGGCTATAGAACCCAGTCTGTCCTGCTATTTACCTATAGCTGGGGGGGGGATTCATATCTTTCACAAGGGTATTAGCACATAAGTGAATGTAATGGATTTGACTGGAATTCGAACGAATTCGGCTCTCCAATTCCTCAATCCAAGCCGTTATCCATTGCTCCACCATATTGAGCTCAGTAAGCTACCAAGAATGGGCTAACACTAAGAACTGTTGGAATGATATAAAGTTATATGCCAGAGAGGTTTTTATTCAAAATACATTTAAAGTTTTGGAGAAGAAAAACCTTTATTTTTCCATATGTCCCTTCTCTTTTGAAGATATGACTTGCATTATTACAGAAATGCTGACTAAAGTACTTAAAAAAAATACAATATTCACACTATGGCATTTATCAAAATATTTACTAAATTTGTCATCTAACAATTATCACATGATAACAATATACATGACAGAAACAAATTCTCAAAATTTAATTGAAATATTTTTTAATTTTATGAAGAGAGTAAATTGCTTAAATATTCAAAGATTCAAAGCAAAAGAAAGGATATCTTGTTTAATTTTAAAAACTTACATCTTATTAAAAATGAGGATACTTTATCCAGTTTCAAAATCACACATTTTACAATAATATCTCACACATTAAATTAATATTCTCAATGTAATAATTAAATGATTAATTTAAAATGATTTAATGATTGTCAAATATAGAATATACATGTATTTTGATCAGTAAAATCTGTGTTAGAAACTTTGTAAAAAAAACTTTAAATAAAAAACAAGTTCAGTTTCAAAATTAAATTTTTTACCTCAACTTTGTTTTTCTTTCTTCATGGAATCTGTCTACAAATCTGTTTGCCTAAAATTTAAAAGTAAAAGATTATTTAAAAATATATTCATACAGTGCTTGAATTAGAAGAAAAAAAAAGAATTCTCACAACATATTTATAAAAGATTAAATTACAAATAAAATAATAAAAATCTCAAGATTTCAAGACAATGTTTCTTGCTTTGTATCTTCAAAAGATGTCATTTTCAGATTGCTTTACCAATAGAAAAGATAATCAGATACTAAATATCTAATGTTTCTTGAGAATTCACACATGACAAAAGCTTAAACCAAGGCTGAAGGAATATTCCCTTTTCTTGCAATTTCTAACATTAATTAGCATCGAAGGAGAAACTTATTTTGTAACTAATAATTCTAGATTGATTCTACCAATACAAAAAAAATATCAATAAATGCTTACAAATTATCAAATCATAACAAAAAAAGATTTTTCGTACCTGATTTAGTAAACTTCCTCTCAGTGAAGTACTTCTCCTGCCACACTTTCTCTCACATTCAGTAACAAATCCTTCAATAACTCTAGACAGAGCCACAAATTCACTTGAAGATAATTTTTCAAGAAATCCGTCCTGCAAGGAAACCAGTTTTGATATTATAATTTATGTTCTGCAATTATCATTAATCTTTATTTAAATATACAAAAAAAAAAATTCAAGCTTACCTATGAAGAGGGAATATTTAGCTATTATTACTAAGATGAACTTACTACCAAATTATTCATTTATTGAGTGAGATAACTTTCTCAAAGTATTTTTTAACATTTTGTTAAATATTATACAGCTTAGCAAAAACATTATAGAAGACAGTAGTTCCCTAACTAAATAAGTATTTACAACGATGCTGAAAAGTCCTATTTCAACCCATTTCACAAAATCTAACTAAATGACTAAATATTATAATTTTTTTGGTAATCTCTTCTTGGTCAGGCTGAAAACTCCAGAATGAACTAACAAAACCAGTTTTGATGTTTTACAATTTTGTTTTAAAGACAAACAAAATTTGGAGAGAGTAGTTAACAGCCTAATTATTAACTAATCTTTTTTATAGACAAGATTAAACATTAAAAGCTATCAAAATTAAAAAGCAAAAATAAATAAATAGCTATGATTAACTAAAGTTATGTTTTTATCTATGTCAACTTGTTTTTAACTAAACTAATATCATTATAAATTTTTCAAAGTATTTGAAGGTATTTACAGATTATATTTATCATGGAGATTGATAAAATATTTTGATCATTTCTTCTATGAACAGAAATTATTAATACATAAATATATAGTAATGATCAGTTAAAATAAATAAGTTTTTGTCACTACATGAAGAGAAAACCTCATCCACTATGTATGCCACATAAAATTAACAGAAACTTTATACAAATAAAAAAATTAATAGAATTTTTCCTATCTCAAATTTGCATTCATTGTCATTTCAACCTCACTGAGGTATTGCTTTTCCAATGACAACTTTTTTGTCAGGATTACCAGTTCATAATGCAGGGTATCCCATGAGTTGAGGTACTTCAGGTTACAATAATTCAAGTCATTCTAAGTAAAAAGTGTGTATAAAGTAAAAAGGTACTCTATACACATTGCTTTTTGCTTTATCTTGCTAAAAACTGAGGTTGTTTAAATGTGTGTTGTGTTGCAGGAGCGGTTCTCTGCTGTTGCTGCTGGTCAGCAATTGTTAGTTAACCTATAGTGATAATGCATGATTTTTAACCTCTTCAAAAAGTTACCTATGTATAGTACAACTCCCTATTTTTTGCATAAAAATTTGATCATAAAAATTCACACTATACTCAAGTATATACAGTATATATTAAACTAAAAGTAGTATTGTTATAATGTTGTCTTTCTTCAAAAATAATCAAGAATTAGGAAGGCCATGGTTAGAGAGAGTATCACAGGAACAGAAGACTAGGTAGAGGAAACAAAGAAGAGATTTATTAAATACTCATACAGAGAAAGGAAAAACTTGAGTAAATCACTATTCTAATGTGGTTTATTTATAAACAGGAGCAATCCATTGTCCCAGTAGTAATAGGGAAGAGCAGGAAGTACGCCGAGTCCTACTCTGCAAGTAGAACATCATTTTCTTTTATGATTCCAATTAACAAAAATAATTTTACAAAATATTTTTTTTTCAGAATTATTATATTCTAAGTTAAAAGAAAAAGCTATATAAGAATATATAAAAGGATAAGTATGTGCATGAGTAAAAATTCAGTTTGATCATTGTAATTGACAGCACATCTAAATGATTTGAAATAGTTTTCAATAAACAAGGGAATGCCAAAATTCATAAACACACTAAAACATGTAATTCTTGGTAACAACTGTAGTGACAACCAAAAGTACTTTGATAAAAAAAATAATAATGAACTTTGGAAAGTTTAGCAATTTAAATTCTAACAATTTTTTTTTTTTTTTTAAATCAGTATCACCCCATACAATGCAGTAAAATCCACTAAAATAAAAGGGGTTACAGGGTGTGGAAGAATTAAGAACAAAAACATTAATAATGAGTGGAAAGAGAAAAGAGTAATCAGGAGGACAGTAGATAGTGATTGACATGGCATTTAAATTTTTGCAGATTAATGTTGGCTGGAAAGCATGGAACCAGAAGGGAGTTCTACAAGCGAAAAGTGCAAGAGAATAAACTGTTAGCATAGAATTTATGGTTACATCTAACCAGCTCAGCTGTTAACTGATGAGATATCAAATTCATAAGGTCTAGGTAATATAGCAAAGAAGTCATCTGAACAATTTCCATAAAAGAATTTATAGAAAAAGACACAGAGAGGCAACAATGGGTAAGTGACTGAAGCCTAGCCATCAGATCAGAACTAATTCTTCTTTAGACCTTATCAAGGAGGTCTAGGTAAATAGCAGAGGCCATATATGGCAACAAAATTCTAAGCATGGACGAATGGTAGATTTATAGATAGGTAAGATATATTCTGGAGAGAAAAATTGTCTCACATGACACAGTGAACTGACATTCTTAATGGCTGACCTAGCAATCACTTCATGTCAGCTGAGAATGTTAGCCTGAGAAGATGAAACAAGTCACTTTCCTGGAGGTTAGCATCAGCCACGCTGATGGAAAGCAGAGAGTGGTCTCCCAAATTATTAATGGAGAGGTTTAGTTTTGGAGGCATTAAAATTAACAAGCCATCTTTTGCCCCAGTTAACAATAGATATGAAGTCGTTTTGGATATCAGCTGCTATTTTGATCTTGTCAGACTGATCAACCTTACTATCAAGGCAGGAGTAAATGGTTTTGTTGTTAGCATAGATACCAAGTTGAGAGCTGATAACATCAGGAAGGTCATTAATGAAAAGAGACACCTGCATTAGGATTTATTCAGATTTAATCAGAACTTTAAAATTGTACAAACAGATCTTGTCAGTATTGTTCAACAAAACATATTGAAAAGAAAAAAATACAACCTAAATACAACTTATATATATATATATATATATATATATATATTGAACAATAAAAAAAATATTAAAAAATTAAAATTTTCAGACACACTGGGCTGTAGATTAATATTCTTTCAGTTTTTTTTTTTTTATTATTTATTTTATTTAGATTCCTTGACTAGTTTCAGCCAAAATGGCTATCATCGGGAGAAGAAATATTTCTGCTTGCTGGTAGCAGTAAACTACAGAAATGAAATATATATATATCTTACTTATTATAAAACGTAGGTTGTGTGTGTGTGTGTGTGTGTGTGTGTGTGTGTGTGTCTGTAACGTTTATATGTTGGATCGAATTTCCTACATTTTTTAGCCGATTTCAACAAAACTTCACAGGACTACATAAAATTACCTTGTGGTGGTTCTAACGGGGCGAAAATGGGAAAAATACAGTTGTTTTTTAATAAAATCAATTTGAAAACACGATTAAGACACATCGTGAGAATGAAAGGGGAGAACTCACCCACGAAAATGTAAACAAAAAAGCATAGCATGATGATGAAAAAGACACCGAACTTGACGAAAACAAAATTTTATCGCCTAATGTTCATATTATTATTAAAGAGGAAAGATCAAAAGTTTTGGGGGTATTTTTTTACATTTTTAATCGTTCCTAGCACGTCTGAAATTTTCGTTAAAAAAAGTTTTTCGTAAAAAAAAAAAGGGGCAGATAATCATTTTCAATCATTTTTTTTTTGATTTGATAAAAAAGATTAAAAAATCTTACTTTGATATTCTTTTAAAAGTCAATTATCATTTTTTCAAAACTGATTTTAATACAAACAGATATTATACTGTTTATTTAAAATATTTTGAACCAAGCTTAACTTAGCTTCTGCGCCAAAAAATGTAATTTGAAAATAAAACAAAGCAGGTCATAACCTTTCGCGTCGCTTGACGAAAAGGCACATTCATGACATTTAGATAACTTACGGGAGGAGAATTCTTTCTACGGATGGAAGGAAGTGAAATTATTTAAGTGAACAAATTATTTTTACCTTTGTTACTTTTAAGGAAAACTTTCAGCGCTCTAATTTTTATTTTTATTTTTTTTTTTTTACTTAGCTTTCATTTTTACGTTTACGATGCTTTATGGAAAATCTAAAGAAATTAAAAAATAAGACGGTTAATAGTGAGATTAAATTTCATAAGAAAAAAGGTATCTAATTTAGGTACCTTTTCTTATGAAATTTTATCAGAAGTGTACATAAATACTATAATTTTATGTAGATTTATTACATTTTACTGTGTTATTTGTATTTCCATTCATTTTATTATTAATTTTGATATTTCATTTATGGAAAAATGTCATAACTGAGATTAATATAAAATAAGATCATATAAATTAACGTTTAGCAGTAGTTAAATTTCATAAGATGATACTGTTACTTGTAGGTACCCTTCTCAGTTGAAATTGAAAACTCAAATTAACTTCTCCATACGTGTTTCACAAAAAAGTAAAGGGCTTAACAGAATACAATGCTGAACTCAAATAATGCAACTAAATTGTATTCTGGTTGGTCTTCCATACTTGATAATTACTGTCCACTATAAACACAAAATTACATTTCTTAATTACCATGGCTAATCTGATTGGTCCAAATTATACAATTTTCAAAGCGCTAGACAATGACAATCTCACACGGACATTTTGAAAGGTTGATGTTGCTTTTTAACTAATGTTAAAATATTTTTTAAATTCAATTTAAACATTTTTTTAAAAATCTTTTTAAAATTAAAGAAATAAGAAATAATTGTATTAAAAATTCAATTTTCATTGAAAAAATTTTTTTGATTTCAGAAAATATTGTCCATATTCATAAAAAACAAATTAAAACAAATAAAAGCATTTGAAACTAAATAATATATTTGTTTTATTGAGTTTTGTATGTTACAATTCACAGCTGATTTTCAGGTACGTTGGCCAAAAAAAAAAAAAAAAAAAAACATGATTTGCATTCTTCAAAGCCTTGTGCTTTTTTTAATCACTAAAACCGATGGTCTCAATTTCTAGAGTTTTTCATAAAATTAGTTATGGGGGTGTTAATAAATATAAAAAAAAATTTCTTCCCATGACTTTAATA